GGTCCATTTGAGTGTAGGTTGTTCCAGATCTTGTGAGGTGCATTTCCAGGTGTATATAAGGGTTTTAAGTCATAAAAATGTGATCTTGGTATTGTTCTTCCATTCATGCATGTGTAAAGAAGTTTAGAATCTTATGAAAAGTTAGGGTTTTGGATTTGGACCCTTCCTAGCAATGCAAAATTATAAAGTTGGAAACTCTATGATTTAGGGCGTTAATTTGGACCTAGATTTGATCTCTGGAAAAAAGGTCTTAAGGGATAAAGTGCTTAATGAAGCAGTGGGATCAGGTCGCGTACGTTGGGCGTACGTGGATTACGTTGGGCATACTCAACAGTCTTGGACTTTGACTTTCGTTGACTTCCGTTGGCCGTTGACTTTTTGACCAAGTTTGACTTTGGGTCAAATTTGAAGATTTTTGGGCTATTGATTAAGATTTTATATGGTTCTGATAATAGTGGATTCGTGGGTGCAAGCAGTGCAGAAAAGGGATCGTATCGTAGTGTTTCAGAGTTCTTCGATTCAGGTGAGTTTTGTCTCACTGTACCGGGGGTCAAAGACACTAATTTCGGCCCACTAGTTTTGGTTATCTTTAGTAGAAGGATGTCATAGGGACTGTATGTAGTCACGCAGGATAGACTGAGGATTCTTGATCTAGGCTTTCTTGCCAGTTCCTTGTTTGGTTGTGGCTCTAAAGTAGGATCACCTGTTCGAGTGTCTATCTCACCTCTGAGTATATATGGTTATGCATTCCTTGGATTGTGGCTATGTATCCTTATGTATGGTATGTTGTTGTGTTGTAGTGATCTGTTAGATCTGTGCACACACACACACACAAACACACACACACACACACACACACACATATATATATATATATATATATATATATATATATATATATATATATATATATATATCCTTATATGATGGATGCTATAGTAGTGGTATGTTGGTTAGAGTGTTAGTAGACTGGTTATCATCTAGTGGAGTGCCCTAGGGTTGTATGCAGTCATGTAGGATAACATGAGAACTCTTGATCTAGGCTTTCTTGCATGTTCATTGTTTGGTTGTGGATCTAGAGTAGGATCATCTGTTCGAGTGGCTATCTCACCTCTGGTTACTTATGGTTACATATTTCATAGAGGCTAGTTGGTAGTGGGTTGATCCTTGATTGTTTATATGTCAACATATTGTGGTAGTGGGTTGAGGCGGTCCTGCTTTGTGTTGTAGGCCAAGATACCCGATGCGGGCCGACTGTACGCCGTAGGCACGGAGGCTCGGGAAGAGCGATTGGGTTGAGGCAATCGGCCAACAAACCCTGGGTATTCCAGTCCGATGACTGATTGGACCCGTTGCATGTTGGTATTCCAGTCCAATGACTAATTGGGCCTGGGCATTCCAATCCGATGATTGTGGGCCGTTATGTATGCTTGTTTGTTTATCGTATGGGGTATTTTGGGGGAAACTCACTAAGTTTCGTGCTTACCCAATTGTTTATGTTTTTTTTTCAGGTTTTATCAGTGATCGTGGGAAGGCGAAGGCGGGACTATATACACTCATCAGCAACATTGAGGATTTTGTGTTTCTTATATTACTCTAATTTTCAATAAATGTATTTTGGAATAAACATTTTTCTTAATAATGGATTTATAATTGGGAAGTTTTACTCTAATAAAGCGAAAAATTTTGATTGTGAAAATAGGACGTTACACCATACAATAACTCAAGACAATACTTTCTTTGAGACAAACAAATAATCTCAATACCAAGAAAATATCTCAACAACCCTAAAGTTCTTAATTAAAAATTTTGGATTTTAAGGAAACTTTCACAACAAAAATTTCATGTTCACAACTAACATTTAAATTTATATCATCTACAAAACTAACACAAAATACAGACACATTATTTCTTATTTTATAGAACAACGAATAATCGATTTTACTATGAATAAACTCAAATTCCATCAAAGAGGCAGTGTACTTTTTCTATTCATTTCCTAGGGGCTCTTTTTAGCGCATACATGATTTAACTACTTAACATATTTCTCATTTTTTGAAAAATTACCTTCAGGTAAACTCGTATATACATCTTCCTCAAAAGAACCATATAAAAAAACATTATTTACATTAAATTGATACATCTTCTACTTATGATTAACAACACAAATTACAGACATGGCTGTCATTAGTTTCACAACGGGAGAGAAGGTGTCATCAACATCCAGACCTTCCGATTGACCGTCTTTATTGAACATCTTAAACTTTCATATTTGCTTTTAGACATAGATGACGTTTGTATGTAACATACAAAGCTTAATAGGATGAGAGTCTTAATCGATAAGTTGTGTATGTTTCTTTTTGTTTTACTTAAACATAGAGATCGTTTAGGACATTCATGTTTATCTTACATACCATTCATGCGGTATGATTGTCTACACTAAAATAAATTGTGATCAACATATTTAACAACCAACAAGTTTTTACTACTTGTTTTATATATATATATATATATATATATATATATATATATATATATATATATATATATATATATATATATATATATATATATATATATATATATATATTGCATTTTTACTTTAATGATAGTTATGCATAAATTTTAATGAAAAAAGATACCACATGTACCTTGTCCTCTTGCAAGTGTGCGTTTAACCAATAAGAAAACAATAGAAAGAACTTTTAATTTTGTACCAACACACTCACATGTAACATCCGCCAACACATTTTTATTTTCCATATTATGTTTGGGGCGTACATGTGACAAATGATAATTGCTTTCACAAAATAAATTTCAATCACGTTAGTATCAACATAAAAAAAACATGATACAATATAAGTCTTTTGCTTTTTACTATTTAATAAAGGTTATGATTTTGACTTATCTAACTACGAATGGATCAATTTGAATTGTGTCATATCATTGATGCATATAACTTTATTAATTGTTTTGTTTGTTAATTTAAGTTATAGCCAAAATAATACAACTTTTAGATCATATTTTTATACAAAAAATATGACAAATTTCACAAAACTCACTAAGTTTACATAAAAACTTAATTTTGACATTACATTATTTTTTGTCTCAAATTGAACACTCCGTTCCGTTTACCAACTTGTTACGATTTCGACCACTTAACTGATCAACCATGTTCATGGCATGTTGACGTGTCAGTTTTGATGATGTATCATGCTGACCTGACACTTTTGGTGACATTACATTCTGTCAAAATTGGAAAAAAAATAAATAAATAAAATAAAATATATCGACTTTTATAATAGTTTTCCAAAACCTAGTGATTTTTGTAAAAATTCGTATTCTATCACAAATCGATTAGAATCCATGGACTTGTTTGGAGTGGAAAAACGACAACAATGGAGAATTTGAACAAAAACTATCCCAGAAGTCGCTATATTTTAGTCTTTTTTTTCCAATTTTGACACCCAGGATGTAATGTTCCCAAAAGTGTCGCATCATCATGCAATGTCAGTATGTCACGCCATTAAGACTGACACATTATCATGTCACGTCAGCAAGCAACCTGATTAATCTGTTGTCAAATGATCGAAATCGTAACAAATTGGTAAACGAAGTGTCCAAATGTCAAAATCGAATTCTTGTATAAACTTAATCACTTTTGTGGTATTTGGCCAAAAATATATAAAAAATAAAATAAAATAAAATATATAATGTTTTTAAGTCTACACAGCCTAACATGAACCAAACCATTTTTGGTGAACCCAAGATACAACGTATCCTTGGGTGTTTAAGAACAAAAACTAAGCTGCCACGTAGGTACGAGTGTTGACAAATAAATTATCTTACATACATGATACGTACATAAATAAAATAGAAGTTGGGTTGGAGTAGTATATCTAAAAATAGAAAGAACACAGAACACGTTATGCAAAAAGGGAAAGTGGTTTAGAGGAGTACGATATACGGTGACTTTATTCAGAAAATGGCGTGAGCATTGAGTTATCCTGTCGCATGCCACCGCAAATATTAATTATAGCTTTCTAAATAGACCAGACTCCCTCATGATTAATCACTTGCAGGATACAACTAACTAATGCATGTATGATGTATGTCATCATAACATTTGCTATCTTTAAAGTCTCTTAACATCAAAAAGAAAAAAGGAGGAACTTAAGCATATGCAAACATGTCTTTTATGATTCAGAAGTAAAAAAAAAAAAAAAAACATAAAGAAAATCATAAAATACAGAAACAGCTAACTAACAGATGAGCCATGGAAGGAAAATAAGGGACATTAAAGCTAATATATGTAAGCAATAGAGGGGCATATCAGATGCAGAATCTATAGGTTGATAGATATCCGTATTGGGAGGAGAATAGACACAGCTTTGCATAGATGGCTGACAGTTGCGTGGAGGTGAAGGTGGCGGCGGCACTCCGTAGAGAGGACCGCTAGGCGATGGTGGTGGTGGTTCACATGATGGAATAATAGATGGTGGTGGTGGTGGTTCGCATGAAGGGCCAATAGGTGGTGGTGGGGTTCCATATAATGGTCGGGGAGAGGGTGGAGTTGGTGTTGGTTGATAGGATGCTGATACCCCGGACCCCATGAAAGAAAGTGCAGTAAAGAAAGAGAAATATGAGCACAACAACATTTGTCTTGTGACTGAAAATGATGAGATTCTTTAATAGAAGAACAGAAAGATATTACTTTTTTAGGCTAACTGTGCACCGATATGGATATCAGCTCAGGCAGTCATAAATAACATAGAAAATGACCGAAATACCCTTAGACGTAGCGAGATACATAACACCTGGAAAGTGTGGTTTGCAGCCACGTAGGGAAACTCTCGTCATTTTGCTTAAAACTGTATTTGCCGGTGCCGAGTGGTAGACATTATTTATTCATTTATTTATTTATTTATATAAATAAATGCATAATAGACTTAAAATACAAACTGACCATCACCTCAGCCATAAACATATATAGTTTAATAGGGCAGGATTACCATCAAATTTGTATCAGCTTTAAAATACACAAAAAATCAAAAATACATATTGTACAAACAAACAAACAAACGTGATAAGTAGTTGTATTGAGTAACCAAAGGTTACAATAGACAAACTTTTCCTTATTCATTAATGATACACACTTTCTTTAATGACTCCCATCATTTGTAACAGCCTTATGTAACTTAACCACTTTCTTTACTATTTGTAAGTCTCCCACCAACAAAAAAAAAAAACTAATACTGCGAAATTGTTCATATTCTATCAAAATAAACATTTTTTTTAAGGTAGAGCGCTTCAAAAACCATTTTCACAGCAAAAGGGCGATCCATATTGCAAAAATCAAGAGTTAGGTACTTAGGTTGAGAAGATGTTAATATAGGAGACTGATTTGGCAGTGGGCATTGCAAAATTGGTGGGGAATAACGTTAAGCATTAAGGAAAGTAAAGTGGCTAGATTTGTGTTTTTCTCTTTTTATCTCCTTTTTTGTTTAAATCAGACTTGTTGAAGTAAATGTAAGTTGCATTACCATTGGAATATGATCCTGATGTTACCCGGATTGGTGAAAATCCAGAGTAGTCCCTCTCTACCTTTGCTATGCATAACTGGGTAATGTATTTTCTTAATTCTTGTTCTTGAGCACAAGACTGAGCTGCATATTCCTCTAATGGCATCCACTGCAGTGCACAAAACATTTTCCAATATCAATGCCAGATAATACCAAATTATTTTCAAGAGTGACCTAAATACAGGTGCCAAAATGGCACTTCATTTTTTAATACAGGTCTAAACGAGAGTTGTGTCAGGTCGACATGGTAACACTTTTTTGTCCATTTTTTTTTATAAGAAAAATTATAAGTGATTAGCGCATTATTATGATTATAAAACTAACATTCTAATAATAATCTACAAAAAATTTCAATAGAGCAATTTAGGAGGTTGTAACATCAAATATTTGAAGAAGGGCAAGTTTTGACCCATTTATAGGTAATTAGGTCAAAATTGCAACCTCTATACTCAAACTTAATTTTATAAACTCAGATGAATGAATATAAGGCCTACAGCTGACAAGGAAAAGATATACAGATAAAGGTAACCAGCTCCAGCAGGATAAGTAGTTTCATGAAGTTTTTATATTAATAAAAAAAACGGTGGCAAGGTGATTAAAAAGGAAAAAGGTCAAACGGAACAACATAAGTTGGTTTATTTGAAAAGGGTTTATAGTTTGTATGTCTGCCCATGTTGCTCATAAAATAGCATCATGAGTTGTAATAGCAGTTTTGATAGGTTACAATACATGGGGGTGATGTGGTTGTAAAGCGATAGGTATCTGTGAATAATGAAATATTTATACAAGGGTAGAAGGGAAACAAAGAGCTATATAGAAAATGGGTCTAACAATGTGTACATGTGCATGTTTATGTTTATCATTGTTACTTTTCTGTATATTATTCCTTGTATATGGACATCTCCTATTTCTAGCCATACTGGATTCAAAGATTATGTTATCTTCTTGACAATAATTCTCAGTTTTGTTGGGTATATCCTCTTCAACTGTTTATAATTCAGTTTGAAGGAGATGAATAGTGGCTTCTTTGAATAAAATAAAAACTAATTAGGACAATATATTATATATGACAGCAGGCAACTAAGCATCTAAAACCTATAATACCTGCTATAACAGATGCATTTTCAACAAACTTGTTACTTGGTTACCCTCACAGACATTAAAATAACTAAATGAGAACATACAAAATAGTGGGTTGCCAAACCATGACATAAACCCTCTAAAAATTTTGTCTAAGAATAGTTAGGTAATCATGTTCAGAATATCAAGTATTTATTTAAAAAAAAAAAAAAGAAGTGTTGGCAGGTGTCCACCAAACTGGTCATTTTTCCCTTTCCTTTATAAGACACTGAATAGCCTTTAGTGGTTTGAAGAGGGAGTTAGATGTAGTGTGTACAAGTAGTACCTTGGCTGCCTCAATTTCTGTTTCTTGAACCAGGATGTCATACGATAATGGACGCATCATGCACATGAAAAATAGTTCTGATTTCCCAAAGAATACATTGTGCTCTTGACTGCCAATTGCATCAATTAAATATCACAAGCTACACTATCCAAATGTTGACTCAACAATGCAAGTGTTGCTACCGAACTTATAGATAGTGCCATTTTTTAATCTTTTGCTTTTTCTTCAACAATAATGGCGTTCAGATCAGAATATATGGATTAAAAAAAAAAATTGATTGTGTATACCTGAATGCTAGTACTTCGACAAACTCTGTATCGATCTGAAACAGTTACAACCATCAACCTTATGTAAGAATTCCATTTTAATTTTTAACACAAAGATTGGGGATAGTATCAAAATACACATCAGAAGCTCAAAACTTACTCCTGTTTCTTCTTTGACCTCTCTAACCACCCCTACAGAAATATCCTCACCCTGTAGAATGGACTCTCGTCAGATTATTAGAGAAAAGCACTGTAACCTAATTTGAAAAAAACTAATGAACTTCTGTAGAAACATACACCTCATGAATAATTCCAGTGGAGACCTTCCAAACGCCTCGTAGTTGCCCCATCTTCTCCTGGACAACAAGCATCTATAAACCAAAAAAAAAAAACATCTAGTCAGCTAATCTAAAAAAATCCAAATATACATTTTCTAGGATTTTTTGGCTACTAAACAGTATATAGATTATAGAAAGGTGGGAATAAGTAGGATTAGAGAGGGTTAAGTCATAAGTGTGTCCCTTTCAGGCCAATCAGGAACTCGATTCCCGCCCAATTAGTGTTGTGGCTCTTTCATTTCACACACATACATACATAATTATACCATCGGCATCCACACATGCACGTATGTACAAAAAATAAACATACCTAGACACGCGTATATGTATATAGTGCTAATTTGTAACCTTCTCATAAATGATAAATCCTGTCATCAATATCAACACAAAGTTTATGATATACAATAAGGGATGTATGTTGCTGTGTGTAGGGAGGATGCTTATGTATATCAATGTGTGTGTGTGTATGTATGTCTTTGAGTATGTAGGTGAGAGAATCTATGTAGATTTGGGCATTTGTTTTTTTGTGGGCGCTACTTGTTGGTGTGAGTATGTAAAAAAATTGCTTATCAACCTACCCCAGGGCCCATGTGGGAGGTCAAATCACGGAACACTAGAAATATTTTAGGCATGCCATAGTTTGAACTTTGAACCCTGCCTCAACCACTAGGCTTATTAGCCGATGATATTGGAAGATATGTATGTATTTCAAATTTCCATATTAGATAGTGCTAGTTGTCATGTATAGCTGTAGTTTACTCATCTTGTACTTGTATAAATGCCATGATAAATGGAAGGATACGTAATGTGGGAATACATATCTTATATGGTATCAGCCACAGAGCAGCACCCCCTCTCCTCTTCGTTTTTCTTCTTCACGTATCTCGATCACATGGCTTTTTCCTTTTTCCTCCTCTGAGCTTCCCCTTGCCATCATTCTTCATCTTCTAACCATCAAATTATCATACTCAATTTTTCTTCAAATTCGTCCCCTCCTCTCCTCTCCTATCAAAACCTACTAGGACATGTTGATGGCTCTTCTCTTGCTCCACCCACAACCACAGAAGTTGAAGGCAAATTGATACCCAATCCGGATGACGCTATGCTGATCAAAAGGCCCTCCTTATTATTCAATCTTCATTAACGGAAGAAGCTATGGCTGAAACCCTCGGTCTTAACACTGCCCATGCAATTTGGCGTGCATTTGAGAGTGCCTACAACCATGATTCTCGAGAACACTTACAAACTCTACGTGACTCCCTTCGCCAGCTACAAAAAGGATCCTCTTCTGTCACCGATTTTTGTCGAAAATTCAAAGCCATTTGTGACCGGTTATGGTGGCGTTGATTCATTAATCAACGGGTCAACCAAATCTTCCTTGCAAATGGAACTCACTATCGCATATCTTGTCCATATACTCCTCAACAAAATGGGAGAGCCGAACGAAAGCACCATCACATTAAGGAAACCGGCCTTCCTACGCTTTTTAATGCTCACGCTCCTGCGTCCTATTAGGTTGATGCATTCGCATCCGTGTCTACATTATTAATCGTTTGCCATCCAGACTTCTTAGAAGACAAAAGTCCCTTTGAGGTGCTCTTTACTACTCTACCCAATTTTGATATGTTTCGGGTGTTCGGTTGTCGAGTTTTTCCATATTTAAGGGATTACTCGGCACACATTACATTCAGTCCGCTTGTCAAAGCTTCAACGGTTCGTATTGTTTTATCACTTGGTGTTATGCAACGATGGCCATTGCATCAACTAGATGTCAAAAATGCATTTCTAAATGGCACTCACTAATATGGTTTTTATGGAGCAACCACCCGGGTTCATTGATGAGAAATATCATTTGCATGTTTGCAAGCTAAAGAAAGTCATTTATGGACTAAAACAAGCACCACATGCTTGTTTTCAACGCTTACGTGCTTTTCTCATCACTCTTGGTTTCACTTGTAGCTATGTCGATACCTCACTTTTTGTTTTTAAACGTGGCTCTATTATTCTCTATCTACTAGTCTATGTTGATGACATTATTCTCACTGGCAATGATTCCAAACTCATCAGCACCTTTATCGTTCGCTTAAACAATGAATTTGCCACCAAAGACCTTGGAAAGTTAAATTACTTTCTTGGTCTTGAAGTCACATATACCGACAATGGCTTCTTTCTCACCGAAGCTAAATATGCCAATAACATTCTCACTCGTGTTGATTGGATGGAATCCAAACCAACCACCACTCTATTAGGCACGATTGAATACTTGTGTATAGGGGTGGCAATTGTTGACACGGCACGACAAAAATACACGACACGAAACGAAATTGGGACGAAACTGAAATTCGAATTCGTGTTCGTGTCAAGTATAAAAAAACACGATGTCGTGTTGTGCTCGTGTTCAAATTTTGACACGATTAAGCATTTGTTTGTCGTGTTTGTCGTGTTATGTATGATTAAATATTAATTAAATAAACTAATTTTTATATTATGTTATCTTTGTCGTGTCGTGTTTGTCGTTTTTAATTGGTTCGTTTTCGTGTTCATTAAAACAAACACGACATCGTGTCTTTTCGTGTTCGTGTCACATAAAAGTTTGTCGTGTCATGTCGTGTCAGACAAAAACACGACACGATGGCCCGATTTGCCACCCCTACTTGTGTACCGTAGGTGAACCATTCTCAGGCCCCACTTTGTATCGATCATTGGTGTAACATCCGGATTCCCAGGTATCTTATTTTAATTATTTATCTTGAGTTTTAGGAGGGACTCGGCGAGTAGGCGCTCAGACTCGCCGAGTAGGATCGCGCATTTCTTGTCTGATTTAATGAAGGACTCGACGAGTCGATGCGTGGACTCGGCGAGTCCGCGCTGTAAATTGAAACCCTAATTCTCGGGGTCTATGCCCTATTTAAAGGCCTTTATAGCCTCCATTTGCGGCCAATGCACCCCTGAGAAACCCTAGAGAGCAGAGAGAAAGCTTGTAGTGCAAGAGGAGGGCTAATTCATCATTCTAAGTGTAATTTTGCAAGAAAGAATGAAGGAGGACAAACAAGGAAGATTGAGGAGCTCAGATCTATCACCCATTTGATCAGAAGAGGCTGCTAGAGGTACTAATATGTGCTCAATCTCGTGTATTTGGTGATCTACTTGAATCTAGGGTTTTCTTATGCCTTCTTTGGCTTGGATTCGAAGTATGTGAGGTCCCAAGGTGGAGTTCTTCTTAGATCTGGACCTTAAGAGGTCCAGAGAGTCTTATCTATCTTGCTTTTTGCTATTTCATTAGAGATATGACCCTAGGTTGTCATTCTAGAGGTTATTTCACCCAAAGAAGCTTTATGGATATTGCATGAGTGTAAAGGTCGGACCTTTACGTGATTATAGTGGTTGGGAAGGCCAGATCTATAGGTTAGAGAAGTAGATCTGACCTTAGAAGGTCATTTCAGTGTTGCCATGGAGGCAACTCGCCGAGTCCATAATGGGACTCGACGAGTCGAGTCAGGGTTGCCCCGCGATTCGTGACAGGTGTAACCCGTCGAGTGGGACGATGACTCGACGAGCCAAGAGAGGCTAGAAGGATTCAGAGAACCCGCATGGACTCGCCGAGTCGCCCATGTGCACTCGACGAGTCGGTCAAGGTTTGACCATTGACTTTCGTTGACCTTAGGGTTCTGGTCAAGACTGATTCAAGAGAGTTCAGGGAAGGGTAGAATGGCCTTCTACCCAATCTGTAGAGATGAGGCTATGAGAGAATATTGATCGGGAATGTTATTTGAATAATAGGAGGCTAGGTCGGGACGTTGAGCACGAGAGTTTATCCGACTTCATTGAGGTGAGTCTTCTCACAATACTGTACCTGGAAGGGTACCTATGTGTGACCGGAAGGTCTTGTATGCTATGAGATGTATATGCTATATGCGGTTATGTGATATGTATGTGCTATGTATGTTATGTATGGTAAGGACCAGAAGGTCAGGATGATATGGACCGGAAGGTCAGGAGGTTACGAACCGGAAGGTCGATACGGGTAGGACCGGAAGGTCTATCGGGATTTGGGACGGAAGTCCCCTGAGACACATGGATCGGAAGATCCTACAGGGTTATGGCCTGGAAAGGCGTATGTGTTGTATGTGGTATTTTGGGGAACTCACTAAGCATTTATGCTTACAGTTGTTGTGTTATGTATTTCAGGTACTAGCGAGGATCGCGGGAAGGCGCCGGCATGATCCGTACACACTCATAGAGATTATGTTTTGAGATTCTGGGATTTGTTTGTTATGATGACATTGGATACAGTTTGTTGACATTGTTTTTGATGACTGAAAATATGATTTAAAAATGAAAAATTGTTTTGAAAATTTACGTCGTTACAATTGGTGGGTGCTCTCCAATATTTAACCATCACAATACCCGATCTCTCCTATGCAGTAAATCAAGTAAGTCAATTCCTTTAAGCTCCAACAATCCAACTGTTGATCACTTCCAGGCTGTCAAACGGATACTGCGTTATGTTGAAGGGACAGTTTCCTACGGATTGCACTTTCACCGACCTCACTCCTCCTGGACTCTTGGTTGGACTCTTGGTTACATTGATGCTGACTGGGCTCGGTGTATTGAAACGCGTCGCTCCACTTATGGCTATTCTATTTTTCTTGGTGGAAACCTCGTCTCTTGGAGTGCTAAAAAGCAGCCCACGGTTTCCCGCTCCAGTTGTTAATTAGAATAGAGCTATGGCAAACACTTAGCTTGATGGGGGGGTATTAGCCGATAATATTAGAAGATATGTATGTATTTTAAATTTCCATATTAGAGAGTGCTTGTTGTCATGTATAGCTGTAGTTTACTCATCTTGTACTTGTATAAATTCCATGATAAATGAAAGGATACATATTGTGGGAATACATATCTTATAAGGCTCCTATCATGGGGCCCCGTGGGGGTGTATACTAATGTGTGTGTGGATATGTTTGTAAGTGGGGGTGTATACTGATGCGTCCTAACTCCTAATTTCACAATCAAATGGCAAAACTCAATTAAGGTGAACAGGTGGCTAAACCTTCAACACAAGGTTTTCACATAAATATTCCAAAGAAAAAAAAAATGCAAAAGTCCCCCATTTCTGGCTTCGGTACAAAAAGCAAAGCCAACCAAAAATTAGGAAAGTCTAATAAACTAGGAAGGAAAAGACTAAAAGTCAAAACAAATTAATTATGACCACCAAATAAAAAAAAGCATGCACGTAATTAAAAGTTCACGCCAATTGGACCGGGTCAAGACTAGATGCTCCGTCATCATATACTTTTGTGTGGGTGTGTGTATGTGTGTGTGTGTGTGTATATATATATATGTGTGTGTGTGTAAAGTAATTTTAGTTTTCCACTGCCTCCCTATAAAAAAAAATTAGATTTTTTTGTTATTGAGAAAGATGTTGACTGAGAGAGAGAGAGAGTGAAGGAAAGTAAGGGAGGAAGGAGGGTGGAAGAGAGAAAAAGGGAGAGAGTTCTACTTTTAGATTTGATTTTAAAACTCAACTACATGAATCATCTGTGTGGTATAGAAGAAATTATGGATATATCCGTAAGTTAGATGGTCCAGGGACGAAAAGAGTGCAAAACTCTCATTTAAGGGTTTATCCGAGTAATAAAAAGATGAGGCGATTTGATTAAATAAAGCACCATAATAGCAAAACAAACAAAAAGAAGAAATATAGAAAGTTGGTGTAATAATACAATATACCTCTCGCCTATCATTTAAGACAATAGCTCCAACACGTGCTATATGTGAAGCATTTGCAGGGATGGGATTTATAGTTTTAGGAATCCAGTAAAGGAGCATCAGGTACTTGGGTTCAGCATGGTGGTACACGAAACCCTCCTGCAAGTTCCAATAACAAAGTATTTCAGGAAGGGAAAAAAATTATTAATTATCTAATCAGTAATCACCATGCATGACCTTAACATAGAATGATATCAGTTTCTACTCATAAATTTATCCAACAGTCACTAGATAGTAGATACCTACCTTAACTGCAGTGTCCACAAGATTTGATAGCTCAATTGGCAGTTTAATCCAAACACCCTTCTTGCCCTGTCAAACCCAAACCCAAACCCAAACCCAAACCCATCTCAGAATTACAAAAATGGAAAGCTAATAAAACCCCAACCCAACAAGGTGTACCTGTGATCTCCAATGCGCCATTGAATTTTTAAGCAGTGTACGAAAGACATCTGAGACCATATGCTCCTTCATCTCTACCATCACACCTCCAAACTCATCATTGCTTGCAGGTAGTTGCTGGACATCATTTTCGATTGTCAATTGGTCCATCAAAGTATCAAACCAACAGGCCTACATGAATTCTTACACTCCTACTTGGAAAGATACTTCAAATTCCAACCCCAGTATTATCAACTTAATTCAACATGCCTGCACAAATCCTTACACTCTTACTGACAAAAGTTCAACCATCCAGGCATCCAATAGACAACAAGGATTCTAAAGGAAGGTAATACTCACAAATTACCCTTTTACTTAACTACAACAGCAGGCATGCGATTGATTGAGCAACTAATGACTCTTCCCACAAGCAAACAAAGATATTGTCAAACACTTCTGACTTCACACTAACTACTAAACATGTTGATGTTGCTTTTGTATTTAAGTGAGGCTGCTTGTTCAAATTATTCTAAATTTACCCAAATCATTTCTTACTGTTCCTGCCCCAACCACACACATACACACAGAAACTCAATGTAATCTAAAAATTAGTTACTAATGCGGGCAATGATTTCAGGGATATGAGTAGCCATATCCCGAATTAGAACTGCAACATGAACTTCGAACAGTAGAATAAAAGCGGGGTCGGGGATACCTACCTGTAAGACGATAACAGCAACGACAAGAGATGCATTGTAGATCGCAATGCAGAAATGGAGGATTAGGGTTAAGCGACTAACACTAATGTTTATGTACCGAATGAAGCTATGAAGAAAGGATTCACTGTCGTATGTGTAGCCGGTACTAGCCTCGTAGGTTCCGATAGCCATTGAAGAAACTCGAAGACTTGGAGCCATTATTGCAAAAAATTCCAACGTGGGCCTGGGCTGGGCTCTAGTGGTTAGGACTAGGACTCTAGGAGACAAGTTTTCGTGGATAAGGGTACAAGACAAAGGTGACCACTGACTAGTCGTGCGTCGTGCGTCGTGACTCGTGACTGGTGAGTGTGCTGTTCGACATGGACGTAAGAGCTGACGAGGAACCCGACATTGAGCAAAACTAGTGCCACAAAATAAAAGAAGCGGCGTGTAAACTGCACTGTGTATGTGTATAAAGCTAAAGGAAGTGGTAACACTCATAACACGTCGTCACGTCAGATTTTTTAGTGTCACATTATTTTTAACCATTTAGCACCTAATCTTAGCATTTGGTAGGGAGTGTTAACACTCCTGACACTCTATTTTATATTATTTTTGATTTTTTTTTCTAATTTAATTAAATCATTTTATTTTAATATACAAACATTTTTTGTTCACAAATATTAAGCAAATTTTATTTTTTAAAACCACAAACAATAAATATTTAAGTACAGGGTCCTTTTGGTAATTTCAGAAACTTGGCTTGTGATAGAGATTAAGATAGGGGTGTGATGTGTAAGTATGAGATTTTTGGAGGTCTTATTCTGTCCAATTCAGATTTTTGTTTCTTCTTCCTCCAGCAAAATTGATTGCAGCGAGACTCCCATTTTCCATTTTCGATCTTCACATCGCGGTTCAACAATTAAACTGAGTCAAGAAGGAAGCGCTTCGGCCAAACACACTCCACCCAATCAAAATCGTCCAAGGCCTTCTCTCTCTTCTCGTTACTCCACTGGCGATGCTAGGTTGGCGCTCCCCTTGGCGCATGGCAGGGGCGGTGTTTGGCGAGGGTGGCTACAGGTGGCGAGTCTCTTAGCGATTTCCACTCCTTTTAGCCTAAGTACCCTATCCAAATTTACCCCCTTTAAAATCAATCAAATCAATTATCAAATCAATTTTTTTTGACATTTGATTTCACATCATTTTTTTTCTTTTTTTTTTCTTTTGTTGTTTTTTTTTTCCTATTTTGTTTTTTTTTAATTCTTTTTTAATTTATATTATTATTATTATTATAAATTTCGCACAAAATTTTAACATTCGGACGACATCATAAATTCGATCGGCTATATAAAATCGGTTATTAATATTTTTTTATATTTTAATATTAATATTAATATTGTTATTATTATTATAAATTCGAACGGCTATATAAAATCGGAAACATAGTATAGTGCTCAACTAAAATATTTCAATCCGCATAACGCACCACGCAATTGTAATACCGTACCAATTAATATCCGTAATTAATAGGGACAAACTTTGTTTTTGTTCCGATTTTATATAGTCATTCAAATTTATAATGCCCGATTTATAAAATGTTATTCGAAATTTATAATAATAATAATAGTAATATTAAAATATAAAAAATATTTAAAAACGATTTCATATAGCCGTTCGAATTTATAATTTGGTACAAATGTTAAAATTTTATGCGAAATCTATAACAATAATAATAATAATAATAATAATAATAATAATAATTTTAAAAATAATTAAAAACAACAAAAAAACAAAATAGGAAAAAAAACAAAAAAACAACAAAAGACAAAAAGTCAAATCAGTGGGTGGAATTGGAAAAAGAGGGGGGTACTTTTAGGGGTCGTTTGATTTGCACTTACCCAGTCTGGTCAGAGCTGACTGCTGACCCGGTCAGTAGTCAGACTGTTTGATGGGCCTCCATTGTGGCTGACTCGGTAAGCAGTAAATGACCAAGGGGCTGACTCGGTCCAAAAAAAAAAGAGGCTGACCGATAGAACAAGCAATTTCCTCTCCTGCGCCCTAACAAAAATCACCGATCGTTCTTCCCTTCCTTCAATATTCAGCGCGACAACAAGCAACAAGATTTCTCCTCCAACTTCCGGCCACTTCACCTCCTGCGCCGACGACGACACAGCTCCGGCGACGACGACACAGCCCCGGTGAGGAGCTCGACTGCAGGTAACGTTTCTTCGTTTTTTTTTTTTCTGAAATCACAAAACCCTTCATGTTTGCTGTCAAATTGATGATTTCATTCTGAAATCAAAGTTTGAAATTACTTCTTTCATTATTCTTGGATTCAATTAGATCGAAGGGTTAGCATGAAATCAATTCATAATGTGTTTTTGTTTATGAAATCTGATTTTATCTATATGAAGGAATGAATATTTGTGTATGAAATCTGTATGAACTAATGTGTGATTTTAACATGAACTAATGTTTGAATAAAATCAGATTTTAGGTTGCTGAAATGAACTTATGTTGAATATTATGTTGAATATGTTGTACATGTTTGTGTGAAATCATAAATTAAAAAGTGTTATATGCTTATGAGATCAAAAGTTAATTGTATGAAATCAAAATATATGTTGTATATGCTGTTAAGAATGTGATGAAATCACATTTATGCTTGATTTATTTGTAAATGTGTGTTATGTGGATGATTAGCTATTTTTCCCCCTTTTTATAATAGACATGACAGATAAAAGAATTAGGGTTAGTTGGAAGTCGGAATTGGTGGACAAAACTTTTTTGGAAGCATGTATACAAGAATTAACAAGCAATGGCCGGTAGGGTAGTGGCCTAAAAGCAAGCTCATGGGCTGTGGTCGCGGAGAAATTGAAAACAGATCATAATTTTGTTGTCGAGAAAAAACAAATGAAAAACCGATACGACTATCTAAAAGCAAAGTATGCAGTGTGGTTAAAACTTAAAAACAAAACAGGAAATATTTATGATCCTGTAACGAATTCTTTTAACATGACTAATGAAGAATGGGAAGCGGAAGCGAAGGTACATATATACATATTTTTTAAATTAGATTATTTTTTAATACTTTAATAATATTTATTAAATTTTCAAACAGTTGAACAAGTATGTAGATAAGCTGAGAAATGCACCCCTCCCTTGCCCTGAACTTTGTACCCAACTATTTGAAGGGGCGACCTCGACCGGTGTTCACAGTTGGGGGCCATCTTCGACACTACCTCATCCCAATGAAACATTCAGTACACATGATTTTGAGGATACAGAGATGGAAGAGCCAGCACCTCATGCAGATACCCCAAGCTCAACAGTACCTCAACCTACTAGTGAGGAATCATCTGGGCGGACAAAAAACAAGGGGGGCAAACGAAATGGTCCTAAAGAAACCACACTTGATGATGAATTGAAAGAAGTTGGAAAAGAAATTATCAAGGCTGCACAAGCATTCACGGAAGCAAATAATCTTGACAAGGAGATGGATGCTTGTATGGCGAAGTTGACAAGCTTGGAGTGGGGAGAATATGATCCGAAATATACTACTGCTCTTATGTTATTTGCTGAAAGTGCTGGTAATAGGAAAATTTGGTTGCGGCTTAACTTGTCAACTTGTGAGTCGTGGGTAACAAATGCGGGAAGAAAGTTTAGATTAGTTGGTTGACTTTAGTATGTTATGGTTCATTGTTTGACATTAGTATGTTATGGTTCATTGTTTGACATTAGTATGTTATGGTTCATTATTTGACATTAGTATGTTATGTTTCATTGTTTGACATTAGTATGTTATATGAATTTATATGTTATGGAATGTTATGCTTTTAGTATTTACATGTTACAGTTTGTTATGTTATGGATTGTTATGTTATTGAGTGTTATGTTATTGATTTAAATGTAATTTGTATTTGATATCTAACAGGACACATGGATAAAGAAGGTGAATTTTTATATTTCCTTATATTCTCGTGGTATTGGTTGATGTTGGTCCGACAAAGGCAAAGAATAGTTAAAAGAATAAGAGCTAGCGAACAAGTAGCAAAGGGGTTTGTGTATACGCAAGATTTGATACACGGATGTCCTATACAATGTTACGATATGATACGTCTTTCACAAGATGCATTTGTACTATTATGCAATCACTTTACACAAAGACATTGGTTGCAATGTAGTAGGACGATAAGCGTTGAAGAGAAGTTGGCTATGTTTTTACATGTTATAGGACATAATGAACGTTTTCGAGCCGTTAAAGAAAGATTTCATCACTCCACACAAACGATTCACCAATGTTTTCATGAGGTCTTACGTGCAATGATGTGTTTTGCACGAGAAATTATAGTACCAACCTCGTCTAATCCAACAAGAAATACCTCAGAACGACATAGACGGCTAATGCACATATTTCCCGGAGCAATAGGTGCACTAGATGGAACACTTATACATGCAGTTGTGCCTGTTGATCAACAAACTCGTTATAGGGGAAGAGGAAAAGGTGAATGTTATCAAAATGTAATTGGAATTTGTAATTTTGATATGATATTCACCTTTGTATGGGCTGGATGGGAGGGCATAGCACATGATTCTAAAGTTTTGAAAGAAGTTGCATTTAACCCGACTTCCGGATTTCCATTCCCTCCACCAGGTTTGTAACTTTACTATACGTTTTATTATCTATATTATTTATATGATAAATTTGTCAATCATCTACAGATAAATATTACCTTTGTGATGCCGCATACACCAACACCCGTGGATTTATGGCTCCCTACCGCAATACTAGGTATTGGTTAGCCGATTTTCGAAGAAACAGAGCTTTAACAAAGAAAGAAAAGTTCAATCATGCTCATGCACAACTTAGAAATATCATTGAACGTGCTTATGGTGTATTGAAGGCGAGATTTCCAATTTTAAAACAAATGGCTCCTTATCCTTTTTCCAGTGCAAAGAGACATAGTCATTGCTTGTGTTGCGGTCCATAATTTTATAAGGAAATACGATATTGAAGATGAATTATTTACGAACTTTGAACAAAACACTATGGTTACTCCTAATGTGGGTGGTGGAGGAAGTGAGGGCCAAAACATAGAAGGCATAGAATGGAGTTCAGAAGCCGTTGACTATATGACTACTTTGCGTGACCAGATTGCTAATCAGTTATTTTCAAATGGTTGACGTTAAATGATGTACTTTTTTTATTATGTATGACAATTTGTATTTGGATTTTGTATTACACTTTGTATTTGGATTTTAATTGATGTATGTTTAATTTGGATTTTATATGATAATTTGTGTTTTTATAATTTTTTTATCCAGCACAAGAAACAACACAAGGGTAATATGGTCATTTCTTTTATTCAGCACAACCATTCAGATAAATAATCAAACAGCATAAACTCAGTCAGATATGGACTCA